TACAGAGCATAGGCTAGTATTCAAACATCATTGCCTCCTAATTTAAAAATAAATAAAATAAAAAAATCATAAATAACATTTTAAGCAAAAAATTGAGTTGAATAATAAGTATATTTAAAAACATAAAAAGGAACATACATGGCACTGATGTGACATTCATCATCAGAAAGGCAGGTGCAATTGACAGTACAGTCATACATAAGGGAGGAGTCCACTATTGGTGTTTGCCAGTTCAAGTTTTTGTCATAATGTTTCAAATTGAAATTCCAGCCTTTTTTACCCAGTTGTTCAACTATTTCACCAAGAGCTTCCACTGCAGAAATCAAAGTCATGTTAGCCTTTAAAGTAGTTAGAGATAAGTGATATAACATGGAGAAATGTCTATGTATCAGCATCATTAAGTATGGTTAGACATCTTAGTATTTTTACAAATTGTGCCTAAAATGAAGTTCATGCATGAATAAACAAGGACAAATTGGTTAAACAAGATAAATAGTCATATCTGGAACCTTTTTTGAAAATGCCATTTACAAATTGGTATTATCAAAGTGCCTGATCAGGAAACCTAACCATCTAACAGTTCAAACCTTTAAATTAACTCATATGTTATGACTACACAGCATGATTATAGAAGGTTTGTCTTTAACTCAGGCTTGTTACATCAAATATAAACTTTAAGGGCATTGAAGAGTAATCATATATTGCTGCTGTGATTTGTTAGTTTATACAATGAATGCAACCAAAATGAAGACAACACTGTGTAAAACAATAGTCTATCCAGCTGCTTTAATACTACAGTGTGCAACAACAAGATAACACAAAAAGGAGAAGAGACAGCCTTAGTTCACAAGCCTATTTGCCTCTTCAGTAAGCTCTGTAAAGAAGAGAAACAAATGCGGGGTTAATTGCAGGACTGCTAGCAAGACCATATGTTATATACTTGGAAGTAAATGTTCAACAAGCTTACCAAAAATGAATGATGAAGAGAATAATGAAAGGGCAGTGGTGACTGGCCCAAAACAGCCACACACCTCATGCTGATCCTCTCTTGGAACTGTCAACGAGTGGGGCGACCCTTGACAGTTCAGTTCTTGCAAGAGACTATCAGCTCATCACTCCAATATTGTCTTTTCAATGGAAACTAGCAATCAATCAGGAAGTAGAATTCTAAGAAATTGAGTACTACATGTTGCATCGTTTCGCCATGTTTCAAAGAATGAATAATACAGATTTCGCAAAGACATGAACCCTAGATCAATGTTCTTCCAAAAACATTGATAAGTCATATTCACAATCTACAACACTTCTAAGAATTCAATTATTTATGAAAGCATAAACAATTTTGAGATCAGCATCTAAATCTTCTAAGCATGTAAGGTGGCTATAGTTTAGAATGATAAAGAAGCTGGCATGTGATGAAAAATTAAATTTGAAATATAGATGAATCAATTTTGTAGCATTAGTACCATCTGCAAGGAAAAACTGATCTTAAGAAGCTCTGCCCTCTTTACACCATCCGTAGAAATTTACAGAGCAGCTGGATTGATTTCAACTCCTGTGATCGATCAAAAGGAATAGGCAGCTGATGGGACAATAATGCATTCCCCACCCAAAATGATCAGCATTCTGGTAAAAGATATCAGGAAAACCAAACTGTTCCCGGTCTTTTCCTGATATAACCTGTGTGCAAACATCAAAGAAGAAAATCCTTAGGGGAAGTCCTTTATATATGCGCATTGTATGTAAGAATCCCTGACATATCAACTACTCTAAGGAGATGTAAACCAAGAAATTTTTAAAAGGATTGCTAGCAATACATTTGTTTTGGACATCAATCACAGGGAGCTTCTTGTGTTGGTAATCTCCATCTTCTTGGAAGAACTTTGTCCCATTTTATCATTGAAACCCATAGCACTCCTGTCATCCCAAATGCCCAACTGTCACATCCATATTGGTACACCTAGCGCTCCATTTCCTTTCTTTTTATCTCTTTTTAAAAAGAATATCTTACATTCTATAACAAACTATATTAATAGGAAAAACAGAGTGGGTAAAACAAAGAATATCTTACATTCTATAACAAACTATATTAATAGGAAAAACAGAGTGGGTAAAACAACCCCCAATGCCTAACAAAGCCTCAAGACAAGTACTGTTAATATTGAATGAGAGAAGAAAAACAGTTAATCATTGGGGTGGGAATTTGAGGAAATCCACTCTAATAATAGCGGGGCAGGGTGGGTTTCCATTGGGTTTGGATTTAATTGCCATCCATAATTCCCAAGCGATTCCACCAATGAATCTCCACCAATAAAAATTCATTTGAAATATTAAAACACACCTATTGGAATAAAACAAACTTCAAGGACAATGGTATTTCTTTTCATTTAGTTTCACAAAATTATAATGCATCAAGTTGGTGACTACTTTCAACTATAATCAACAGCAATTATTAAATCTCAATCAGAACCACTATTCCTTAATGAAGAGCTGTGTGGCTGCATGAGTCACTGAAGTAGGAACAAGTACAAATGAGCATATGAAGTGTTATATGCTACAAGATTGGAACTCAGGAAATGTCTTTAATGCCACACGTTAGATGATGAAGAAAAATTGTAATCAATATAAACAGTAAATGTCCTGAGACCCAAATATTAAAATGAGTCCAGGATTAAATGCTATAATAGATAAATATACCTTCATTTGCATGTCGAACCATTTGATAACTGACAAATCCCGAAAAAAGAGTAAGCTGCAATCACAAACTACCAAATCATCCTGCATTCATTTGCATCTCGAACCATTTGATAACCCATGAACCCTCTTAAGTTTCAACCAAATCATCTTGCATTCATGCTTTTGAACCGATGCATTTATTTATTACTTGCCAGGTTCATCAAATCCTATGCTAATTCACTCACCAAAGCAAATGCCATAACTAACATTTTTACTGTTTTGACAAAGAAATTGGACTGCACCTAGAGAGGTGGCTAACTTTTTAAATGAAAAGAAAAAAAAAACCCTGCATTTACAAAGACGAAACACTTGCACTTTTAACTGTGACCTTTGTGTCTTAACACCAACTAATCATCAGGAACCAAGGTTTCCTTTGCTTCATATATCTCTAGACCCAAACAATATAGTTGTTCACTAAATGACACATGCAGTCGTGCAGCATTTGATGGTTCCATATTATTTATCTATTTTTTCCAAGCAAGGATGAAAAAATAGTAAAAAAAGCCTATCACGATCCTAAGTTTTTGATCCCCCAAATAACCGAGTTCCAAAAACTGAGTTCCCAGCATATGTCTACATAACCTATCAATCATTCTTCAAATGAAAGAACAAATCTCGAAACCCCACACAAACAAGCAAACACATAAACTCTCTACAAAGAGAATAGCAACAAAATTAAGGCTTCAAGCACGCCAAGTAGAAACCAAAACTTTTTTTTTTTCCCTATTCCTATGCTACAATAAATAAGAAGCAACAAATTTAAACATCTGATCTCTAAGTTGTAATCTAGCACAAGGATCAACAACATTCAAAAAAAAAAAAACACTTATGCTACTTCTCTTAGAATAGGGGCCCTTTTTTTAGGGGAGTCCCCTATATCTGATAGTCCGCAAGCACATATTAGAGAAATGTTCAAATGTCCCATCACCCAAAACATAGATAAATCAAGAGTCTTGCTTGAGACCCATAAAGTCACCCACAATTACGTGGCAGGCATTCTGACAAAGGTATTTAATTTTACAAGAATCAATAGAATCCATGTAGCAATCCACATCATTGTGGTAAATTTAAGGTTGAGATTTTAGGGATTTCAAGCTTTTTCTCAATTCTAAATTGTTTATTAGAAAAAACAAAACAACCCAAATATACCCAAAATAGATCATTTGCATTGCATTCCTCTTAAAATATAGTTAGCAGAACCTAGAAGTCCTTCAAATGTCCTGAATGTCATATCACCAGCCTTAAACCGTTGTTCTTTGTATGAGAAATGAAGAGAAATATATATAAATATATTAAAAAAATTCAATCTTCAATTAAAGAGAGGCAAGATCATGTCCATGAATCAAAAGTCCCAACAAATCATATACGAAAAATTCATATACATGGGTAAGAGTACGAGTGTATTACCGTTTTCGAGGAGAATCAGCCTGCGAAGAAAGAAAATTCATGAGAAAACAATGCTTCTAAAAAGCAATCAAACTTTAATAAACAAATAACAGAGAAATCAAGAGGGTTTGCTGAGAGATCAAGAGCTTACCATATTCGGGAGACTAAGAGCCCTAATGGCAAGAGGGTTTGCTGAATAGGGGAGTGGGAGAGAGGCCCTTCTAGGTCAAGCGTTCTTCTAAGGTGGGGGGGGGAGCATTAATTTGGTACGCTTGGGCGTTGGTTTGCTCGTTGTGGAACTCTACTCCCAATGTAGCAATTGACTAGGTTTCTTTTAATTTCAAACTTAAACTTGAAATAATTTAAAGGGAAAAATTATTTGTTGATTCTGGGGCGTGACGTGACTATGTCCTAGGCTAATCATAAATTTTTATATCTCTTTATATTTCTCAATCACTTAATATAAAATCATAGACTTCATCTCTTTTATCAATTACAATTATGTAGACCTCCACGTGGTGCTGCCTCTAGACTAACCAATAACTTCTCATTTAAAGATGTCATTATCAGTCTCGTTTTGATAATTCAAATTTTTATTTTGTAAATCTCTCCATCTATATCATTTATAGAAAAAAAAATTAATTTGATAACTGTAACTTTTTTTTTTTTTTTGACCAAATAGCCACAGATTATAATTTAAAATAAGAGCAAGTATAACCCAGCTGATAATCCCATATCTCATCTACCATCCCAAAACTAGGCTATTACCCAAAATATGCATGACACTGGTGTGGTCCCCATTAAAGTGAAAAAAATATATATTATCCAAAAGCATCTTATTATGATTGGAAAATAAAGCCACAACCACTACAAGAATATTATATAAGAGCTCGAACGAATGAGATGAACAGGCATACCTGGAGAAAGATAGGAAGCAATGGTTGAAGAGCTTTAGGGAGACATAATCCAGGTATAAGAACTGGCCCTCCCTGCATGCAAGAAAAAGATTAATTTGAGGATGCCCCAAAAGAAATTAGGCCCAAGGAAATTATAGTGATTATGGTTCACAGTGTCATCTACGAGTGATTATTTATACTGCAATAAAACCATACTAACCTTCCTTTTCCTACGCTCTTTATCTCTGGATGTAGAAACTGCATCACGAACTAACTTTATATATGAAGGAAGGACTTCCTTAGGAACTGAGCCGACAACTCTAGACAAAGCTTCCCAAGCAACCTGTTGAACAAATGGTAAGAAACAACATGCACCACAGAGGAGCAAAAGAAAACCACATATTATTTATATGGAATTACCGCAACTGTAGCTGAATCTGAATCACTGAGCAAAACAATCAGGGTGGTTATCACATTCGGAGCTTTCATCAACCAAATATAACTTGCTGTTTTTGAAGAAGTATCCAAGCAGATATGAAGAACTTCGTCTAATTGAAGCCTGCAACCTAAAAATAATAATAATAATAATAATAATAATAATAATAATAATAATAATAATAATAATAATAATAATAATAATAATAATAATAATAATAATAATAAGATCAAACAAAGGTGCGAAAGCAGATTGAATTTGAACTAAGATGCATGTATCAACATGAAACGAATGCACATCAATTTGTCTAATTAAATCATAACACTTCTCATCTAACGATCAAACAAAAACTAATTAGCAGAGAATTAAAAAATAAATACAAAAAAAACTAGAATCGAATTATCTTTGAATCTGAACTAAGATGGATATATCAACATGAAACGAAAACGCGTCAATATCAAACAAAGAATTAAACAAAAAATGCTAACTAGAATAGAACTTTATCTTTTGTCTAATTAGATCACAACACTTCTAATTAGCAAAGAATGAAACAAAAAAGCTAACTAGAATCGAATTTATAACAGCAAAATACAAATGAAATCAAGCACAACATTACTTTAATTACCTAACATTGAGAATGCCAGGCTGGAGAAAATCATGTATGATTGGAGGTAATCGAATAGGGGATCCAAATCATGAGGTGTTGTTCAAAATAGAGATATAATGGCGAGAAAATATTGAGGTCGGAGATTGGAATTTGCACCATGGACAACTAATAATCACTAGTAAGAAGATAAGAGACATCCACAATCAGATTGCTGAAGCAGAAAGTGCAGAAGGTGTGAAAATGGGTGGGTCGATTTGGGGGTGGGTTTGCTTGAAGGTATGCGAAAAAAAACCCTAGAGGCCGAAATTGGGGGAATAGACATAGAGATACAAAGATACACACACACACACACAGAGAGAGAGAGAGAGAGAGAGAGAGAGAGAGCGAAATATGAAGGACATACTTGGGGGTAGTGCTCCAATGGTGGATCGTAATGTGAGATAAGAAGAGAATGGTTGCTGGTTTGCGATGGTGACATCAATGGCGGTGGTGGTCGTTGAGGCAATGGTGAGCGGCGGTGGCCATGCGATGATGTGCGATGATGTGCGACGATGGACGATTGACAGGCACTATGTCGTCCTGTATGACATTAAGATGAGCAACGGTGGCTTCGACATTGATGCTCTACATAATTGAGCCCTTGTCGATGGGATGGGAGTGATTCTGAGTCGCACAAAGATAGAAGATGCAGATGGAGAGAGAGAGAGAGAGTTGAGCGTGAAAATGAAAAGAAAAATCAGAGGCACCAAGATATCATAAAATTTGGGGATTTTGGGCACCAAGGGCTTGACAAAAACGAGGGTTTATTTTTTTTATTTTTTATTTTTTATTTTTTATTTTTTATTTGTGTGAGTGTGTGTGTTAGCGACCGCACGACAAAGTGCCTGTTTGGTGCAGTTTAAAAGCTGCTTATTTCAGTTTTTAGTTGAATTTAAACTATTTTGATGTGTTTGGTTTAACTTATAGCTTATAGCTTATAGCTTTTTGAAAGTCAGAAATCAGTTTATTCTTTGAGTAGGGCAGGAGATGCTTAATTTATAAGTCAGAAATCAGCTTATGTTCATAATTATAAGTTATAAACTGTTTAGGTATAAGTTATAAGCACTTTCCCACAGCTCTACCAAACAGGGCCAAAGGCTATGGCGAAAAAAAAAAAACCTTTTTTTTCTCTTTTTGATTAAGTAACTGTCGTAGTAAAAAGTGGACTATTGGTGACAAGATATTAATCGTTGCAAAAAGTTACTTTTTGCGACGAATAATTATGCTGTTGCAAAAGGTTCTGTCATATACCTATTTTTCTAGTAGTGTAATAAGTAATTTTTTATTTTTTATTTTTTCACTGAATTTTTTTTTTAGTTTTTTAGAAAAAGAAATTTTGAAACTAGTTCTAAAAATAAAACCAAATATATTGAAATTGATAATCTAACCACATTCTTTAGAAAAGTTTAAATTATCTCGAATTAGCCATCTCAACTTAAGAATATGATTGGGTTTGATGGGTTCATTTTGTGATCTAATTCAATGATCACTTTAATTTTAATTAGAATATTTAAAACTCTTTCAAAAGTTATAATAAAAACACAAACCACTAAATCACTTCATTTCACTAGCAAAACTTTTACCAACGAATAGCGTTATCGTCGCTAAATGTTTAACTCTTTGCCCACGCTAACTTATCGTCGCCAAAAGTAAGCACACTAATAGCAACGCTCATTGTGTTGCTAAAAAATAAGCCTCGTAGCTAAAATTTTTGAAATTTTGGTGCTTAGTGAATGTTATGACTTTTTAGCGACAGTTGTAAATTGCGTCGCTAAAGGACTACTTTTACCAACGAAATTCATCATTGTGTTGCCAAAAATATACTTTTAGCTATGAAAAATTGACGTCGTCGCTAAAAGTAGTCGCCAAAAGTGCAATTTCTTGTAGTGAATACAACACATGCAATATCTAATTAATAGGCTCGACTACTAGCATGGCATGGGAATCGATTCGATAGCATGCGGTTTTAGCACGTTTTCAAAGAAGTATTTAACTAACAATGTGAGTTAGAATGATGCGCCCAGCCTCATACATGCAAGACAGTGGATGTTTTATACATGCGAAATGCTAAAAGAAATATGATGTTCTAAGCTACCCATTATAAGAAATTAAATTAAAAGGAAAAAGAAAGGGGGTTGGAAGACATACACGTTATTAAACATTGGCCCTCGCACAAGAGGGTCCGAATAAATAGCATAGTTAAGCTAATTAACTAGCTATTACAAACCAAATAAAATAAATTAACTATGCTAACTAATTATTACAAATTGAAATTAACTAAATTATGACGCTAACTAATTAGTTACAAATAGGAATTCACTAATTATTACACATGGGATCAACAAATTTTATTAACAAATTAACAACTAATTGAACTCGAGCGAGGTAGTGAACCGTGCATGCCAACGTGAACATCCTCCTGGAAGTACTTCTGTTTTGCTACCAGGACCATTCTACCTGCAGAAAAAGCTCCTGTTTTGCGTCTGCTTCTGCTTTGCCTTGCAAGAAAACAATACTAGCTGCTGACACAAAAGTGGCCGGCCAGCGAGAAGTAGTGGACGACCGGCTGCAAATAGTGGTTGGCCGACCACTACTGTAAATATGGCCCTGCTGCAACAAAAAATGAACAAAGCAGAAACAGGATGTTCCTGGGGGATATTCATCATCTCTGCCTCTTCCTATCATGAAATTGCTCAAAGGAAGGGTAGAATCGATTCACAAATCATCAACAATTGCAAAGTTGTTGCATGATGATCTATAGCTCAATTGGACAAAAGCTTAATGAGGGAAACTAAATGACCAACAAAACCTCCTCCTTATCATGAGATGGATCAAGGGAAGCGATTGACATTTGACTCTCAAACCATTATCATCACTAATAAGTATGAAATGGCCTAAGACTCAATGGGTTCAACTAATGTCCAGTTGAACCCCAAACCATATTATTATCTTATTCCATTTTAGCCCCAATTTTATTACTCCATTTTAATTACCTTTCCATTCATGAGTCAACTAAGTCCAATAATGAAGATTGAGTCCACTAATGGAGAGAAGTATCAAACAAAGGGTTGTTTTGGACATGAAAGAGATGTCATGCCGTTGGTAGTGAACCTCCGAGGAGATTAAACCATTAAGCACAATTATCCCTATCTCAAGCTTAAACAATCAATCGGTTGAAACAATTCTCAAGGCAAGAAAAAGAACCAAGAAATGAAAGAGGTACAGAGGTGATTAAAGATGATCACAAGTATGGAAAGCACTAAATAAATGCTACCAACTCAAATAGATTGGTGTATAGTGCCTAAAACACCAAACCTATGAGGACCATTAGACTACGAGCATCAAACCATTATCATCACTAATAAGTATGAAATGGCCTAAGACTCAATGGGTTCAACTAACGTCCAGTTGAACCCCAAACCATATTATTATCTTATTCCATTTTAGCCCCAATTTTATTACTCCATTTTAATTACCTTTCCATTCATGAGTCAACTAAGTCCAATAATGAAGATTGAGTCCACTAATGGAGAGAAGTATCAAACAAAGGGTTGTTTTGGACATGAAAGAGATGTCATGCCGTTGGTAGTGAACCTCCGAGGAGATTAAACCATTAAGCACAATTATCCCTATCTCAAGCTTAAACAATCAATCGGTTGAAACAATTCTCAAGGCAAGAAAAAGAACCAAGAAATGAAAGAGGTACAGAGGTGATTAAAGATGATCACAATTATGGAAAGCACTAAATAAATGCTACCAACTCAAATAGATTGGTGTATAGTGCCTAAAACACCAAACCTATGAGGACCATTACACTACAAGCATACTATGCAAAGCATAAAGGAAGCTAACACCTAAAATTAGTCCTAAATTAGCTCAAAATAGTGCTAGAATCAAGGTAAAAACAGCTAAAAAAGTAAGCTAAAAAGACAGGGCAATTAAGCTAGTAAACAAGCACAAGGAGGGGAGGCTACCCCCCCAACTAATTTGTGGGACTTAAGAACATAATTTTTAGCCTCTAAAAATCTATGAAATTCAGTGGTAAAAAGTTTAAGAAAAGTTGATGAAAGGAAGGGAAACACAAGGGCAAAAGCCTATGAAGCAAGCTTCAAAGAAGGGTGGCCCACCCCTCTACCTTTAATGGCTTTAAACTACAAGTTTTAGTCCGAAAATGTAGGTGAAAAACAACCCAAAAACAACAAAAAACATTGTAGATAAATAGGGGGGACAAAGCTGGGAATTATACCTCTTGAAGAGGAGTATCCCTTTTGAATTATAAACCACCAATTCACACCCTCAAGATCTAAGATGCAAGCTTAAACACCTCAGCAAAGAACCCTCGAAGTTTGGTTTAGAGAGTGTAGGTCAAGGGTAGGTAAGGTGCAAGAAGGAGGGAGAAATGCAGAGAGAAATATTTTTCAAACTTTTGCTCCACAAAATTTTTCTAACCCCTATATCATAAGAGAGGGTCATCTATATATTGAACTATATGAAAGACTCTCAGAAATATCCAAACAAATACAGCTGGTATGGTGCATGTATCTGTGGAAACAGCTGGCCAAAAATATTTGATTTTTGCATAAGTGGCCTGCAAGCCACTAATTGGGGCTGGCCGTACACTATTAGTGGCCGACCGGCCACTACTAGGCCTGCAGGTCTCAGATGGTCAGGCTTGAAAAGTTACTGTTTTGGTCTAAAGAAAATGGTGCCAAGTTAGCAAGTTTCTGAGGCTTAAAGCTGAGGCTTCTTGTTAAGGAATTCGAGCATTTGAAAAGCATATACAAATTCATCATCGGGTGATCACTCGGTGGTGCCCAAGTCTTAAGGGAGGTTAAAAATGGTGTGTCTACACTGACAAACAGGCATAACAAAACACTTCTTGAGGTATAATTAAATATGGGTTGAGCTTTTCTCTGATCCATCATCTGGATTAGAGGGTGTTGTCTGAGAACCACAAGTCCTATTTCGACAATTTGAACCGTTCATTTTATCGGGCCTTGCATGTATATTATC